GGGTCTTCCTGTGTCACTGGCCCTCCACCCTTCCAAGCCTGATGCCCTTCTCCAAGGCCTGGCCCTTCCTAACAACATACCCCAAGCATCCTTGCCTCTAAGAAGCACTTTGGTGGCATTTTCTCCCGGATTTGCTTGTTCTTTTCGCAACCCATGGGATATTCAGTAAGCTTCTCCAGCACCACAACTCAAAGGCATTGATTGTTTGGGTCTACCTGGTAGCCCTGGACGCGTTCACCATCTGTGCTAAGAAATGTGACAGACGTCCACCCGACCACCTGACTGGAAGATATCTGTATTTCCTCCAATTCTCCAGAAAGTGTAACCCAACACAATGTGGAAATTATTGGACAATAGTGCTCATTTCACATGCAAGTACAATCTTACTGAAGATTATCCAAAAATGGCTAGAACACAACTGCCACAAGTTGAAGCTGCGTTTCGAAGAGGCCTTAGCGGTGGGGATATTATTGCTATCAGGTGGGTCATGGCTGAAGTCAGAGAATATTGAAAATATGTCTACTTATGTTGAATTTGCCCTGCAAAGGCCTTTGACTAACAGAGATGGAATGGAATTCCAGATCACTTAACTGCACTCATGCAAAACCAGTAACTAGGCGTAAACAAGTCAAGCGGGTGTACTCACAGGAGGCCTCCGAAGGGGAGACGGGGACCAGAGTCTTAGAAGAAATGTGTGGAGTGGTATGAGGAAGGGGTCACGAGCAGAGCTCTTCCAGACGCTGGACAAGGGTCCTCCCCTAGAGTGGCTCTAAAGGACCCTTCCTGAAAACTTGACTCCAGTCCAGTCTCCTCACTTCTGAACTCTGTGGTGCTTGGTTGCCTTTGAGTCGAACGTGACTCATAGCGACCCCTGAACCAAAGGCCTGAAACCCCTCTACAACTATCGACATTTATCAAGGTTCATAGAGTTTCCGGAGGCATGTTGTTTAGGAAGTGGATGCCACTCCTGCTTCCAGCTCTGATTTCTAGAATGTTTAAAAGAAATTCATGCTATTTTAAGGCATTAGCTTTGTGGGGATTTGTTACAGCAGCAGTTGGCAGTCGTGACGTCAGGCTGCTGAATGACTGCACAGGGGACACAGGGATTTAAGGCTGGACTCTGGGTGTCACACAGCCCGGCTGCCAAGCTCGGCCCAGGAGGGGGTGTGTTTCCCAGCATCCCTCTGGCTCAGTTGGGTCAGGGCTGCTCTCTAACGTCCATTTTCCTTGACGAGCCTTCGTTATGATGCTGGAGCTTTGAGCTCTGGAACCTTCAGAAAGGGACACGGGCAATCACAGGCCTTAAGTCTCAAGTCCCATATGTGACCCATCCTGCCCACTCCCAAGCCACTCCATTCCAGCAAACTGACCTTAAAGGAACGCCTGTCAGTCCCCGTTACCATCCTCTAGCCCACTCTGGTTTTGGGGAGTAGAGTCTTCATGCCATCTTAGCAGTGGTCCTCAACCCTGAGTCACCGGCTGGTGGGAAGAATGAGGCTTTGAAACAGACCAGTGAGTCCCAAACCCAGGAAGTCAGAGGCACTGCTCTTCCCAGGGCCCTGAGGGCTCTGATACGCAGCTTAGGTTAAGAATCACTGATTGGGAATGGTACAACCATTCTGGAAGGCAGTTTGGAGCTTGCTCAAACAGCTGAATATAGAAATTCCAAATGACCCACCTATTCCACTGCTTGGAATAAACCCTGAGAAAATGAGAACTGAGGCACAAATGGAGACTGGTACACCAATGTTCATAACAATGTTATTCAACATTGCAAGTACATGGTAACAGCTCAGATGTCCAACCACAATTGAATGGATTGAGAAATTATGGTACATTCACACAATGGAATACTATGCAGCATGAAAGAGCAACAGTTTTGTAAATTACTACCTAGTTTGGAAAAGACTGATGAGTATTATGCTGAATGAACTAATGCAGTTCCATAATGACTAATACTGTATAGAACCATTGCTGTGGAATGAGTATGAGGATCCAAGGAGGGGAGAGTGGAAGCCGAGGGAGTGATGACGGTCAGGGCGGGGAGAGTGTTAATCATATGGTCATACAATTTGATGGTCCGGGGGAGGTTGAAGGAAATGGGAAACTTCCTGTGTGAAAAACAGTGTACTCGAACTGTGTAAATAAACCAGTATAATAAAACAAAAACAAAAAGAATCACTGATTGGGTTAAGAACATGGAGATTGTGAACTGTTTTCAAGGTTAACAGAGCTTTCAGAGTTACCCCTGGCACGTGGAGGGAGCCCAGACCTCCGTGCAGTAGACAGGTCGGGGTGGCTCTGCAGATGGGGTCACTTCAGCAGCCCCTTGGCCTCAAGCCTGTGTCTGCGCACCGCAGGGCTGGAAGGATGTAGAGCACAGGGGAGGGGTGGGGAGGACAGAGCAGAGCAGAGGGGAGGGGAGTGGAGAGGACGACAAGCTGTTATACGCAAGCAAGCAAGCAAGCGCGTGCACACACACGTCAGTGCTGTGACTTCCGACTGCTGGGACTGAATGGAGAAGGGATTTCACAGGGAAAAAGCGGAGGACATCTGCAGCCAAGAAGAGCCATTCCCATCGGTCAGAGCCAAATTCAGAGGGCAGCTGGGGGTGGGAGAAGTGGCAGATGGGGCGAAGAGCAGAGGACGCTCAGGAAAATGAGGGTCACAGAAAAACTGGTGTCAGTGCAGTTTAACGGGGTTGGAGGGGTTGGTGTGGGGGGTAGCTGAGCAGACCCTGCAGGAAGCTCCTTGGGACCTGTGCAGTGAGTGCTACAGCTTGTCCACACCCTTTCTGTACACATCACACCCCTGCACCCTAACCCCTGCACTGGGTGGCACTCAGGTGCCCATCTCAATGGTGAGGAAGCTGCTTCTGCTCGTGTAAGGCCAGCCCAGGCCTGCCAGCGTCCCCGCTTCCTCCGTCCTGCAGAAGACGTGAGAGGCCTTGCTCTTCAAATATCCTTCCAGGCTTCGGCTCATGGGAAAGAGCCACTGGGAATCCCTCTCTCTGGAAAAATCTTCCCTAGATCGATGAAGTTCTATCAAAACCTTAGAACCAGAGAGGGGAACTAAAAACACTATTCTTTTTACTTCCTAGCTCCTGCCAGCCCCTCTCTGAGGACCTAGGGTCTCTCAGCACATCATCCACCAGAACAAAGGAGGGGAATGGGGCACCATCAGGAAGGGCAAAGCAGGGTGGGCACCACCAGCTCCAGAAAGGAAGCCCAGCCCAGGACAGACAGAGGTCAAAGGGCCAAAGGCAAAAGCTTAGTGATGTCCCAGGTGGACACCCAACACAAAGGTAGACCAGCTGGCCCTGCAGAACGCCCTCCAGTGGGGCCACCTCCCAGAATCTCTGCAGGCCCCCAGCCTTCCACCAGGTCCATCCAGACAGTCCCTCCCTGCTTGATTCTAACAGTCTTCATTCTTGTAAGGATGCTGGGAACATGCCCAGCTACAGTCCAATCCAAATCTACTAGACACCACACACACAAAGTCTTCATGAAGGTCGTGGGCCCTTCTGATCTGTCAGGTGGGCCTGGGACCCACGTTAGCCAATTAGAATACCTCTCCTGGAAATCTGAGAATGGGACCAAAGATGCATGGTTTCAGACAGCTGACCCAGGAGCTGGGGTGAGGACGGGCTGAGGTAGCCATGTTTGGTCCTGTGCACATGAAGAGGCAGGTATATCCATCAGCAGAGGGAGTAAAAAGACAGGCCTGAGGGAGGAGGAGAGAGGCCTCTGGGCATCAGAGAGAGACCGGCTCTCATCCCGCGGGTGGTGGTGGGGGCTGACCCGTCTAATGACAACAGCCCTGACCCTTGCCCTGTCCTGTCCCATCCCCACATGCACACGCCCATGTGACAAGTCATTTTACTGAGGGTATTCCTCTCTTTAACAGGCCTCCATCTGTCCCGACATGATGTCTTTTCCCAAGGACTGGCCTCTCCTTACAACATATCCAAAGTAGGAGACACTGTTCCTTGCCTCAAAGGAGCACCCTGGTTGCAATTCCTAGAAGATGGATTTGTTTGTTCTTTGGGTAATCCTTGAAATATTTAGTATTCTTTAACACCACAACTTAAAGGCATTGATTCTTCCACTGTCATCCTTATTCATTTTCCAACTTTCAGCTAAATATTTACAACATAATACACCGTCATCTCCACATTAGTTTGAAAGTCTCCTCTAACTTTCCACCAGTGACCCTCCTTGCTCCTTCCGGAGTGCCTGGTGCCACCTACCTGGACACTCGTTCCTGGAGGAGACATTGTCCTGGGAACCCCAGCCCTCACTCTGCCCACACAGGGATCTCTGACCCACTTGGAAAGCACCTTTGGAAGCTCTTTGCCCTGCAGCCATCTGTTCAAAGCTGGACAGGAACTGCCTCCCCAGACACCGCCTGACCTTCCACCAGGTGGGCTCCTGCCCTCAAGGAATGTCCTGCTTGGGCGTGAACTTGAATAAAGTCAGGGAGATGATAAAGACCTCTTCTTGGTTCCAATGCACATCTGACAACGGCTAACAAGAGAGGACTAGTCTTAAAATATAACAAAACTAGAGAGCTCTGGTGGCCTGGTGGCAAGAAGCTGCACTGCAATCCCTAAGGTGCATGGTTTGAATCCACCAGATGCTCCCCTGGAGAAGGCGGGGCAATCTCCTCCTGTAAAAATTACTCTAAAGGGGGGAGGGGCAAGATGGGTTTAAAGAATTTAGTATCGATTTTGGAAACTTCCAGTTTGGTCTGGGACACTTGTGCACAGGCTGGTCTGCCCTGAGCTCCAGGGAAGAGGGGCCTCTTGGGGACCCTCAATCTCCCCACCCACCTTCACCTGCAGCCTTCCTTGTGGGTCCACATCCTGCCTCAGTAGTTCAGTAAAATATTTTCACTTTTGGTCTTTGCCCAGTTGGGGTCCTTTGCAAAGAATAAACAAAACAAAGCCAAAGGTTTAAACCCGGGAACTTGCTAGAACATGAAGTATTTGGCACTTTATTCTAAAAGCCGATTGTGTTGTTGAAGAAGAGGCTGTGTTCTCGGCCCATCCTGGCCACGGACGGGGACTGTTTAGGATACTGTACTGAAGCTGTGTATGCGCCGGGGCCTGGTGTTTTCTAGAAACAGAACAGAAAGCAGGGGTTTGTGAGACAGATGGTGTCGTCAAGGTCCCAGGCCCTGCTGCGCCTGGTAGTGACTGCAGACTTTGATGTGGCTGAGGAGACCCCTGCAGAGGGACATGAGACCCCAGACTTTCTGCAGGGCCTTCAGTCAGAACACGGTCGGAGCTGACACTCTCACTGAAAAAAAATTTCCTCCCCAGTAAATCACACAGGAGGAGACTACCCTTCTTTCTTCTGCAGATCAGCTGTTAGGTCTGAAACAAAGAGGGACCCCCTTCGGGACACTGATGCAGACCATGCTTCCAGGGCCCCCGGCGTAGCTGCTGATGCGCTTAGGTGCCACCATGTTGACTGTGACTCAAGAACCACAGATCTGAACGCTGCCCCACCGCGCACATCCTCACCTCTCCATGTTCACGCGGTCACTGTGTCAGTCCACCTTGCTGAGAGCCTTCCGCTCTTTTCTCCGACGTTCCACCTTTCCCAGCGTGATATCCTTTTCCAAGGACTCTGGTCTCTGTCCACTTCCTTTTACGTAAGATGTTTTGTTTTTTGTTTTTTTAAATTGTGCGTACCGTCAAATCAGATCTGACTGGTACAGGAGGAGATTATCCCTCCTTCTCCAGCACAGCATTTTGTGGATTTGAACCACTCACCTCTGGGATTGCAGTGCAGCTTCTTGCCCCTAGGCCACCTGAGCTCACCTAAGATGTCCTCTTCTAAAGGTCCCTCCCAGCAATATGCCTCAGGATGTGAGATGAAGTTGCTCCTTCCTCACCTCTAAGGTGCACCCTAGTTGCACCTTCTCCAAGACGGACCTGTTCGTCCTTTTCGCTGTGGTATAGTCTAGACTCTTCTCCAACAGCACAATTCAGAGGCATCAACTCTTCTGTCACCTTTATTTATGGTCCAACTTTCAGATCACATCGGAAGCAAATGAGAAGACCACGGCCTAGACCGGGTGTACCTTAGTCTTTAACCTGACAGCCTTGCTCTTTAGCACGCTGGAAAGGTCCTTCATAGCAGACATCTTCTGACTTCTTGACTGCTACTACCATAGAATTGTCTTTTTAACTATGCATGCAACACCATTCTTCAACTTTTCACTGCCAGCACAGTAAACCACAGTTTGGTTCAAAGGGGCCCAGACCAGTCCACTTCAGCTAACTAAAGCCTAGAACGTCTGTCTTCATGCATTTTGCTTCCTTTCTGACAACTTCCACTATTCCTATAGCCACACTTCGTGCATTCCATGGCCCAGTTATTCAACCGTTATTTAGCTGTTTCTCCTCATTTTTGAGTGACTTCCCATCTGGGCTCTAACACGATAGCCGTGTTCCTCTATTGTTCATAGGATTTTTTGAAGGCTTGTTAATTCAGAAGCAGAAGATCAATCCTGCTCCTTCGTCTGTCTTGATCAGGAGCTCTGTTGAAACCTGTGCACCATGGGTGACCTTCCTGGCCTTGGAAACCATGGTAGTTTAGCTTCCAGCAGCACCGTGACCTACACGTTATCCCAGAACAGCCAACCAACAGACAAGGGCTGTGCTGATAATACTGTGCAATAAACATATATATACTCGAGCAATACAAGTTGTGTTGTGTACTGCTGAGTTGGAATTGATTTATGGCTGACCCTCCATTGAGATTTCAGAGGACATATAATCCCATCTTTCTCCCACCAAGCAGCGGGTGGATTTGAACTGCGTACCTTTGGGTTGGCAGCACAATCCCTTACCACTAAGCCACCAGAGTTCCTTTTGAGAAACAATAGGAAACTTAATTAAATGGGAAAATATTCCCTGTTTACACACTGGAAGACTGAGCACTGTGACAATAGCAATTCTAGAAAGCGCATTCTTCAAGGAGATAGAAGAAAAAATGAAGTATGAGGCACCACATTCCCTGATTCCACAGGGTCCTCCACAGTTGCAGCAATTAACTCAGCATGGTACTGGGAAAGTATCTGCCACAGAGGCCAAATAAGCATATGTGCAAATAAAATAAGTAGCAACATGTAAATCACCACCGCACACCGCACACCACCCCAGCCCCCTCCAGTAAAACAAACTGACAGATAGGTGTTGTACCTATAACAGCAAATCATAGAAACAATCAGGTAAATGCCATGGTGCACGGCAGTCCTCTCTGGTCCTGCCTCACTCCAGGCAACAGCAGGCTCCTGTGACCAAGTCCTGGCTGGTTCCTCCTCTGGGCCCTACTGGCTGCTAGCCCTGGGCTCACGGTCACTGAAGAAAGAGACTGGCTCTAACCCCTGGGGAAAATTGAAGCAACAAGCAAAGATGGAGGGAATTCACAGAATCACTGTACCAAAAAGAAGTGGTTGCCATTGAAATATTTCAAGTTGCAGCACATGACAAGAGCCAGAGGCGATAAGAAAAGCTGCATTGAAGGCATTGGTGGAAAAAAACAGTGCCTCAGTGACTGATGGGATACTAACAAGTTTCAACTAACATGCAGTTCTGGACATGCTCACCATCTGTGCTGGGAAATTTGGAAGACAACTATCTGGCCAACTGACTGGAGGCAATCTGTATTTGTTCCCATTCTCAAAAGGGAGCTCCAATAGAATATGGAAATTATCAAATAATATCATTAATACCATATGCATCCAAGATATTTCTGAAGAGCAAACAAAACCAGCTAGAACAGGACACTGACAGAGAATTGCCAGAAGTTCAGACCAGTTTAGAAGAGGTATCATTGCTGATGTCAGATAGATGCTGGCTGAAAGCAGAGAGTACCAGAAGACTGTGTATTTTTGCTTTATCAACTAAGCAAAGACATTTGACTCTGTGGCTCATAACAAATTTGGGCTAACATTGAGAAGAATGGGAATCCCAGAGCACTTAGTCAGGATCATGTGAAACCTGGATCAAGAAGCTGTTGTCTGAACAGAGCAAGGCAATGCTACATGGTTTAAAATAAAAAACAGTTTGAATCAGGGTTGTATTCTTTCTCCATATCGACTGAATTTGTATCCTGAGGAAATCATTCTAGAAGCTCACCTTATGAAGCAGAAAGTAGATGTCAAGATCAGAGGAAAACTCATCAACACCTTGTGTTATACAACTTTGCTTGCTGAAAGCAAGGAGTACCTGAAATGCTTGCAGATCAAGAACAACAGTCTTTATTCTGGATTATATCTCAACATCAAAAAGACAAAAATCCTCCCCACTGGACCCACAGGCAAGATCATGATGGATAAAAGGTTGAAGATGTCACCTGTTTCACCGTGCTTGGATCCACAATCAACACACTTGGTATCAGAAGTCAGGAGATCAGCAGACATACTGCATTGGGAAAGTCAGGCACCTCTCCCAAGTCCTGAAGAGCAATGATGTCAGTTTAGAGACCAAGGTGTGCCATAGTCTTTCAATCACCTGCTACGTATCTGAATGCTGGACAATGAATAAGGATGACAGAAGAAATTATGTCCTCGAGTTGCGGTGTCAGAGAAGAGTACTGAATATCCCACGGATTGTAAAAAAATTAGATAGATGGGGGGGGTTCTTAGAGAAGGTGCAGCGACAAGAATGGTGAAATTCATCTCACATACTGTGCACGTGTCGTTAGGAGGGGCAGGTCCTCGGAAGGGGTCATCATGCTTAGAAAGGTAGAGTCAGCAAGAAAGAGAAAGACACTCAGATGGACTGACACAGCGAATGTAGCAATGGGCACAAGTGTGTCGGAGATGATGGAAGTGGGGCAGGATGGGTCAGGGGTCACAGCTGTTGCTCACGGGGTCACCTCTCGAACTTGATCTAATGAAGAGCTCTCTGTAGGCATAGCCTTCAATATGGATTTCACCTCCACACCATGAAAACAAAACCCCTCCCACCAGATCAGTAGATAAAATTGTGGTAGACGGAGAAAAGACGAAGTTATCAATGATTTCATTTTCTTTGGATCCACAATCAATATCCATGTCGTTAGGTGCCATCAGGTTAAGTATGAATCATACGATCCCGGAGGAGGCAGTGACATGTCCTGGTAATACCTCAGTCTCCCAAACGGCACACCGCCCAGGCAGTTCCTGTTCTCAGAATGCCATCATCTCTCCTCCAATCTAGTGACAAGGGGCTGGAGGGAATGAATTCTGGACCTTCATGGTTTCACCCTGAAACTAAATAGCCTCCCAAACTCCCGTGTGTCTCCATTCCTGTTAAGATGAGACAGCACAGGTGCTTCTCAACCAGGGTCTGCGATCCTGAGCCACAGCATTTCCAAGGGATCCAGGACTTGTAAGTTTAAAAAGCCATGTCTTGCGAGCTCTGGTGGCCTAGTGGCAAGAAGCTGCACTGCAACCCCAGAGGCATGTGGTTCAAATCCACCAGACACTCTGCTGAAGAAGTAGGGACAATCTCCTCCTGTACCAGTCAGATCCAATTTGAGGGTACACACACGAAAAAATAATAATAAAAAATATTAAAAAATTTTAAAAGCCATGTCTTGAAGAAAAGAAAAACTATTTTGCCATTTATTTAAGCAAAGCTTCTCCTCTGCCATAGACGCGTAGCAGGCTGTGAGGTCTTCTCATGGCTGTGGAGTTGGAACTGACTCCGGGCTGACCCTCCGGCGGGTTTGCAGACACTGAAAACAGCACAGGGGCAGACTGGCCATCTCCCTCCTCAGAACCCTGGTGGACTCAAACTGCTTACCCTTTGTATTGACGGTGCAACTCCTGACCCACTAGACTCTCAGAACTCCCTTTTCCCCCCATGTATAGTGCTCACACACATTCTTGAAACTCAAGAGAGTTTTTCATCTTGAATCTGCCTGAGCCACATCAGGATAGTAAGAAAGGAAAGCCCTCTGGAGGTCAACAGACCTGAGCTCCAGTGGTCCTCCTTGGCCACGCGCTCACTGCAGCTCAGCACTCAAGGGGCCTCGGAGGAGGTGCACAGGAGGTGGGTGTGAAGCTCACCCAGTCCCTCCACTCTGGGACAGACAGACAGCACCGTGCCAGGCCAGCGGCGAGCACCTATCTGTCACCCCGTGCTTCCTTGCAGTTGGCTGTCTCTTCAGGAGACGGGGAGTGGAAACTGGATCAGGCTGGGAGGGGACAGATGTCAACCCAGTGAGAATGAGCTCAGTGCCCGCACCGGCCGCCAGCAATGACAGGATGCGTCCTGTGCCAAGAGCAGAGGCAGCGTGGAAATCTCACCAGGGCCTGGCCGTCACAGGAAGCGGCGGCCTCCATCAGGAGCCAGCACGCAGGTGAGGCCCTGGACGGCCCACGGAAGGCGGCTGGTGCCGACCACCCAGCTGGGCACCTCGGCTCCCAGGTCACTGAGCAACCTGTGGGGTGTCGTTGGTGAAAATGAAGATTTTTCTACCAGAGACTCTGCAGACCCGCAGGCTCAGGTGCCAGCTCCCCTCACGTCCCCTCAACCTTGTCAGGAGCCACAGAGTTGGTTCCAGCTCAAAGTGACCCCACAGACCACAGAACGAAACCTGCTCCATACTGCAGCCTCACAGGCCCGCTGGGCGCTGCCACGGCTCTGCTGTCGGGTTCCTGGGAATCTGAGGAGCCGGAGTCAGTCCTCCTGAGAAGGCCATGCCCGTGGGCGCCAGACACGCCACCAAGCTATGAGGATCGGCCTCAGGGACTCACCAGCCTGTCACCCTCTCATTGTCCTGCCAGGGCCTCTAGAGTACACCGGGCCCAGGCCACACATCTGCCAACACTGCAGGCTCCACAGGAAATGGCCTGGTCACCACCGAGGAGTCGGGGCGGGGGGTGATAATGCAGGCGCAGACCGTGGTGGCACCTGCCAACCGCCACCCAGTCCCAAGACAAGGTCGCCTCTCCCGTAACCTGTCATCACCCCTCAACCTCCCATGTCCCTCAATCTCTTATCTCCCCTCCACCTCTCGCCTCCCCTCCACTTCTCATCAACCCTCAGTCTCTCGTCTCCCACACCCTCTTATGCTTCCATTTGCACCTCAGGGACTAAGTTTCTTACAGGTAGAATTTGTAGGATTCTGTCACCTTAACTATCGCAAATGAGTTCACATACCAGTAAGTCTTGGGGACTTGGGCAGCAGGGCCGTGGAGATGAATGCCTTTCAGCATTAAAAAAAACAACAACAAACAGCACTGGACAAAAGCTCCACATGCTCCTTCTGCCTCTTTCTTGCTCTTCTCCAGGACTCTGGGGCCTTCTGGACACCCCCAGAATCCATCTTCTTTGTGGATTTGAATGTCTTCCCTGTCTACCCCAAGTCTGTGAATACAGGTTGACTGCTCAAGGTATCATGGTCTCCTTCAGTCCCCCATTAAATGTTTCTGCTCCCACACTTCCCTTCCTTGGGCTCCCAGAAACCACACACAGAAAGTCAGGCCCTCCCCCATGCTTGGTTCCGATCAATAAAATGTCCTACCACGCATCCGGATCAGAACATCGCACCCAGATCAGAACATCGCACCCGGATCAGAACATCGATGGTCAGTTACTGTGCCAGCTGTTCTCAACGGCGCCGTAACTCAGCCTTTCAGCTCGGAGCCACTCGAAGCCTGACCTGCCCGAGGGCTTGCTGGACGCCACCCCCTGTGCGTCCCTACCCTGCCCCTTCACCAGTCCCATCCCGCCTCCACCCACAGCCACAAAGACCATCAACCCTCAACACACAGCACTTACCGATCGGGCGGTCAAGAAGCGAGGGACTCTGGATTGGAAGCAAGAAGTCACAGAACATGTAGCTGGTGCTTTCAAGTCATAATGGCCTGGACCTGGGCCTTCATGCTGTTAAAAAAAAATAAAGTGTTTCATTATTAATACTATTTTAAGGTTTTATTTCACCTTTCGTAAATAAAGCTAGGAATCACAGTGGTATGTAGAAAAATTGGGGTGGGGAAGATCTTGTTAAGCTGTGACCTGGGAGAACTCTCTGTGAACAGGAATGAATGGGAGCTGTACCTGCCCAGGTGGGACTCCATGACAATCCACGGCAAGTAAGTGACCTGTCAACGTCTCCTCCTGTTCCTACTAGACTTCCCCAGCCTGGGGGCCTGTCCTCAACACAGGACCCTTCTCACATTAGCCCCCCGGCCCCCAAATGGCTCACAGTGACCCTGCTTCATAAAACTCATCCTTTCATACAAATGCAACAGATACTATGTTGCTCCAAGGAAGTATTGGCAGCAATTCACAGATAGAAGTCCCATGAATGAGTAAATTGCAGAATGAGAGACTAATGTGCTCTGTAAACTTTTACCTAAACTTTTTTTTTTCTTAAAAAAAGCGCAATGCGAGAGACCCTTTCTATGAAGATGGCGCTGAAAGCGAAGAAGGAAGCCCCTGCCCCTCCCAAAACTGAAGCCAAAGCAAAGGCATTAAAGGCCAAGAAGGCAGTCCTGAAGGGTGTCCACAGCCAAAAAAAAAAGAAGATCCACACGTCACCCACCTTCCAGCGGCCTAAGACAGTGAGACTCTGAAGGCAGCCCAGATACCCCCGGAAGAGAGCCCCCAGGAGAAACAAGCTTGACCACTCTGCCATCATCAAATTTCCCCTGACCACTGAGTCAGCCATGAAGAAGACAGAAGGTAACAACACACTTGTGTTCATTGTGGATATCAAGGCCAACAAGCACCAAATAAAACAAGCTGTAAAGAAGCTCTATGATACTGATGTGGCCAAGGTCAACACTTTGATTAGGCCTGATGGAGAGAAGAAGGCCTATGTTCGACTTGCTCCTGATTATGATGTTTTGGATGTTGCCAACAAAATTGGGATCATCTAAACTGAGTCCAGTGGGCTAATTCTAAATATAAATTTTTCTCACAAAAAAAAAAAAGTGTAATGCCACAAGATTGATCTAAATGGATAAGCACAATTTTAAAAGACAATTTTGTCACAATAGCAAGAAGTGATTCACAAAGAGAAAATATTAGTATGCAGCAAGCAAAGTAGGGAGAAATGGGAGTTTTCTTATTCATAATCAAGTAAGTTCTAATGAAGACAACAAGAATATTTCTTTTTCTTTTTTGGTCTAGTCTGGTATATGCCCATTTACTCCTCGTTTATCAACTGTTATCTGACAGTAGAAACACACACACACACACACACATATCCCATGCACTATTTTGCACATCAACAAGGTCCAGCTGGCAGTAATGAACGCTGTGGTGTGAGGGGAGCGTAATCCTGGTAGTGGTGGTCAGGACTACGTGTCCACTTGGCTGGACCATGATCCTCAGTGGCCTGGCAGTTATGTGGGGATGTGATATGCAGTTATGTGATGATGTAGTCACCCTCCATTGTATGATCTGATAGTCACCCTTCATCTTCACATAACTTTTTTATTTTTTGTCATAATGACTTGGGCTTTGGAAACTAACCACCTCAAAAGTGAGGTGGTGGTGGTTGTGGCTAGGTGCCACGAAGCCAGCTATGTCTTGCAGCGACCTTATAAACAGCAGACGTGAACCATGCCTATCCTGCAGCCCTGTCTCCATCTCCAACATGTCCACTGCTGTTGTTTCCATTAGTGCCAACAAGTCAAGTATGACTCACAGCGACCCTCTGAACAGCAGGCCTGGATCCTGTCCTATCCTGTGCCGTCATCTCCAACACACTCGAGCCAACGCTGCAGCCACCATGTCAATCCACCTCATAAGGGATCCTCCTCTCTCGGGCTGCCCCCTCCACCTTTTCAAGCGCTATGTCCCCCTCCAAGGAATGGCCTCTCCCACCAACATGTCCAGAGCATGAGACACAAAGCTTCACTATCTTTGCCTCCAAGGAGCACTCTGGTTGCACCTTTTCCAAGACATACTTGTTTGTTCTTTTGGAAGTCTGTACTGCCATTCATTTTTGGCCATTCAGTACTCTTCTCCAACACTACAACTCAAAGGCATTCATTCTTCTTTTGTCATCCTTATTCATTGTCCAGGTCTAGAAGCATAGCACGTAATTGTAAAGACCACAGCCTGAATCAGAAACACCTTAGTCTGCAAACGGACATCACTGCTCTTCAGTATTTTGGAGAGGTCCCTGACAGCAGACTTTCCCAAAGCAATACATTTCCCGAGCTCCTGAATGCTAGGACCAAGTGTGGATTACTTGGATTGTGGATCCAAGTAAGTTGCAAGTCATTGACAGTTTGAATCTTTTCTTGGTCTGTCATGATTCTGCCTATTGGCTCAGTGGGTGAGGACCTTTGTTTTCTTGATGTTGAAATGGAATCCTTATTGAAGGCTGTAGGTCCATTATGGGACTGAGTTAATTCACTCTGCATAATGCTCTCCAGTGCCTCGCAGGTTAGGTAATAACTTACAAAATTCATTGTTCCTGTGTGCTGCATGGTGTTCCATTATGTGAATGTACCATAGTTTCTCAATCCACTTGTTGGTGGTTGGACATCTGGGCTGTTTCCGTGTTCTTGGATGGTGAATAACACTGCTATGAACATTGTTGTACAAGTCTCTGTTTGTGCCTCAGTTTTCATTTTCTCAAGGTATATTCCAAGTAGTTGAATAGCTGGGTCATATGGAATTTCTCTGTTCAGCTTTTTTAGGAAGTGCCAAACTACCCTCCAGAATGGTTGTACCATTTTACAATCCCACCAACAATGTATAAGAGTTCCTTTAGAGTAGCAATATTGAAAGATGCTATGGGCAATATATTGAATGAACCACCACCAGAAAGCATAAAGGAAGATGGAGGGAATACACAGAATCATATTAAATCTGAATCACAGAATACACCACTGTACCCCAAAAAAGAGACAATGAAAAATTTCAGGAAGTACCAAATGAGCAGGAGACAATGAAGGAGGAAGGGGAAGCTACACTGAAGGCATTATAAAAAAAAATTAAGAAGACCCCAAGAATAAATGAGAGACCAATTGGTTTCAGTTAATAAATGCAGCCCTGAATGTGCTCACCAGTGTATGCTCACCAGGAAATCTGGAGGGAAAATGTCTGGCCAGTGGATTGGAAGAGGTCCATATTTGTTCCCATTCCCAAGAAAGGTGATCCAACAGAGTGTGAAAATCATTGAACAGGATTATTAATATTATATGCAAGCAAAATACTGTTGAAGATCATTCAAAAACAGGCAGAACAGGGCATTTCCAGAAGTTCAGCAGAATTTAGAAGAGGCTATGGCACCAGGGATATCACTGCTGATGTCAGATGGATCCTAGATGAAAATAAAGAAAAGTAAAAGAATGTCTATTTATGCTTTACTGAATATGCAAAGGCATTTGACTGTGTGGACCATAACAAGTTATGGCTGACATTGAGAAGAATAGGAATCCCAGAGCGCTTAATTGTGCGTATGCAAAACCTATACGTAGATCAAGAGGCTATTGTAGGAACAGAGCAAGGGAACACTGCACGATTTAAAATTAAGAAGGGAGTGAAAAGAAAGAAGAAAAAGAAAGACAAACAACCCACTCACAAATGGGCAGAATATATGAACAGATGCTTCACCAAAGAAGAAAGTCAAATGACCAACAAATACGTGGAAAAATGTTCATCATCACTAGCTATTAGAACGATGCAAATCGAAACAACTATGAGCTATCATCTCACCACAGCGGCAGCACCAGAGTTCAACAGGGCAGTAAACAACAAAGGCTCGTGAGGATGCAGAGAGATCAGCTCACACACTGCAGGTGGGACTGTAAAATGACACAGCCACTATGGAGGGAAGCCTGGTGATTCCTCAAAGAGTTGGAAATAGAAATACCATGTGACTCAGAGATTCCACTGCCGGGAATATAAAGAAACCAGAGCCAGCACTCGGACAGATGTTTCCACACTCATGTTTATTGCTGCATTATTCAAACCAGCAAAGAGATGGAAGCAACTTAAGGTTCCATCAACAAACAAACGGAGAGAAACACTATGTACATTCACACAATGGAGTATTACACAGCACTGAAAAAATGAACTTGTAAGACATTACACAACATGGAGGAGCCTGGAATACATTATGTTGAGTGAAATATCTCAGTCACAAAAGGAGAAATACTGAATAACCCCACTGTCATAAAATAGGGCAGACACAGAGGGTTAGGGGGGAGAATAGGAAAAGAGTGGATAGATAATGAATACCGCGTTAGATCAGATGAGAAGAACTGTCTGAAAGGAATACGTGATTAGGCATTATATGTATGAGAACAATCTGGAACAAGAGACCCACTGCAAAGTGGACTGCAGGAGGGGAAAGGGAGGAACAGGGAGGAAAATGTTCAACAATTAATTTATAAAATTTTTAAGAACATAGGGGAGCTCTGGTGGCCTAGTGGCAAGAAGCTGCACTGCAATCCCAGAGACGCAAGGTTCGAATCCACCAGATGCTCTGCCGGGGAAGGAGGGGCAATCTCCTCCTGTACCAGTCAGATCTGATTTGATGGTACACGCACATAAAAATAATAAAAAAAATTTTTAAGAACAAAGGAATAGGTAAGAGAAACTGGTACATGCGCACAATTGACTATTACGCAGCACTGAAAAAGAAAGACCTGGTAAAACACTACACAGCATAGAAAGGCTGGAAGACATTTGACTGAGTGAAATATCTACAACCGAAGGAAAATACAGCATAAAACCACTGTTTTAAAGATAGGCTGGATACAGCAGGGAGGGGTGGGAGGGCAGGAAGAGAATGGATAGATAACCAACACTGCACTGGAACAGGGGAAGGGAATGACCATCTGAAAGGAATGGACGATTAGATATTACATGTTTGACACACAAGCTGGAACAGGACAAGTGTTACAATGTGAACTGGG